CCAACTTTGATCACTTCTGCATGGTCAGTGTGGCTCCGCCCGGCAATCTTGGTCCATCGTCCCCCTCTCGCCAAAATCCACGGGCTCGAAGCGAACGATGCACAGAGGCGACGGTGCCAGGGCCAACGAAGCTGCCGGCCAGCTGGGCTGCACACCCCCTTTCTTCTCGCCTATTTTAACGCTACAACGTTGGTAGTCGAAGTAGGGAAGGCGCAGAGAGACCACGACCTATGGTTGTCTTTTGTTGGAGGTCCTGGTGTGGGGGCCTTTTTATCTTGGGCCTTCTGTCGTGCCGGTGCGCGCATCTTCTCTCCCTATCCGTCCTTGCTCGGTCAGACAATCTTGTCCGTTCCGATCAACTCGAGGCCTGCTGAAGAGGCATGGGGAAGACCAGGCCGTCTTTACCTTTGCTGTTTTGTTCAGAAATGATGTTCTCCACTACACATGTATGAAAAAAAAAAAAAAAAAAAAAAAAAAAAAAAAAAAAAAAGAAAAGACTGCTATGTGATGAAAAAAACGAGAAAGTCCTGTGGCAAGGATTCACGGGCCTTGCTACATTTGTAGCACCGTAGTCCTTTCTCGGGCAAGAACGGCCTGACGATCCCCCAATGAGCAACAGTGATGGGCGTGGCGCACCGGCACAGCCAATCCTAACCTCATAATGTTTTGGCTGACTTGTGATTTTGCGCTGAATCAAGGAGGAAAAGAGGCAAGGGAACGGAAAAAGAAAGTCTACAGAGTATGTCGTACTGGGGCTGTCTTTCAAGTAGGAGCAGGAGACAGAAATGTAGTCACGGGCCAGAGTTCGCTTCGTGTTTTGGATCCCCTTACCGCGATCAATGACAAGACGGTGCCCGAAAACAATTGACAATGGACGGGGGAAACGCAAAGCAACGACAGTGGCGTCTCTTTTTTTTTTTTTTTTTTTTTTTTTTTTTTTTTTTCACAATCCTGGCGCGAAGAAGCAAATACGGAGTAAAATATCGTCGGGAAATCAGAACGAATTTCAGGCCCACAGGTCAGACTCTCTTCCCCCGGCCATTCCTATTTCGGTATCTCTCCTGTTTTTGCGTTGGATGGGGAACGTTACTTTTCACAATGGGGTGACGAGAAAGAAGCAACCAGCCGTGTCGCTTAATGCTTCTCTTTCCAGGTTGTGGACACATGACACAGGGAGCCTCTTCAAATTCGGTCCCGTTGCCAATCTCGGCGCGCCATCGTTGTACGGCTCCGACTTGCCACATGGTCGATCGCACTCCCTACCAAAAGGCATCCACCTCAAGCATTCTCCTCCGGCATCCCACATCAAACGTCAAACAACCAGCATCTGGACGCGTCCAACACGTACCAAAGTTGGCTGTCCGTGTCATGAACTACATCACTGCAGCCGTCTCAAAGACAGACTCGACAGCTCTGGCTCGACTTCCGGCGTGGCTTTTCTCGTTTTGTCGTATTGTTCAAAGGAAGTCTGTGGTTTATTCCCCCTTTCCGCTGCCTCCAGTGGGCATCACAAACAAAGCCCCTTTCTGCCTGCCGCGTCTTCTTGTTGAACCCTCGTGGCTGAGAATAATATGTCCAGATTTATACTCGCGCCAAATGCTTCCTCAACAGGGACACAAGCGGGACAAAACGGAATTTGTCCCCGTCCACGATCTTGTCACGGCGGAGTGGAGGCCTCTTGGGCCTGTCCGTGGCATTTTTGTGCTTGTCTAGCAAGTCATGTACTCCGTGGTCAAGTGCTACGATTGACAACATTAATGCCATTGATGCCCTTGACGCCATCGTCGGCGGTTGAAATCATCGTCGGCGTCGTCACAATCTCCTGCTATCTATTTTCTTAGGCTCTATCCATGTCATATAGCCTGCAGGTACGGCGCACTTCGGCCATGGTATAGAAGCTCCATCTTGATATTGCCCTTTCCCGTGTTTCCCGTCTTTTCCTTGGGGCATTGATTGCGTTAGCTGTCCATCCCGGGTACAGTTCTGTTTGCATGTTCCATTTTCGGTGCGTTGCCTTACTGATATCAAGCGCCTTATCAACTGGACGACAGGGGCACGGAAGGGCTGCAACTGGGGAAGTGATGCAATGCTGTGGAACTGGTGTGCCTCGCCATATCTACCAGTTCTTTGCCAGTTCGTGCTGATATTGACGTTTTGCGATTTACCCGTGTCATTGGGGACATGTTCATCCGGGCGTTTGGAGATTGGCAGGCTATGTGGCTATGATTTGATTGTTATTCCCCTCGTTCTATTGCTCATCTTCCCCCAGCCAATAAAGCCGACAAGGGGCGCTCTATCTCGTGGAAGCGAGCTCGCTTCCTGATTCTTCCCTTGGCCCTTTCCGTTTGTCTACCCTTTCTTTCTGGCGGTAAGACCTTTCCCCTCCTCCTTGCACCCATGTGGCGTCCGCGTGCCAAACCCCATACCATGCCGTCTTAGCTCCGGCCCGTCTCATACGAGAGCGCAATATTGGTTAATAAGAGCGATTGTGATATAGCCAAATCGTTTCTGCTGCAAGCAGAGAGTCAAAAACGACAACACGGCCCGGCTTGTAATATCGCTAACGCGACTGTTCGCATGCGGTTATCTGCTTCTCTTGCGTCTTTGCTCGCCTCTCTATATTTTGTGTAATTCTAGATGCGTGATATGCCGGGCCACATGAGCAGACACATGGGATGCAGCATCGACTGTCCCGATATTGAATTGCCAAAGCACATCATCATCAGCATAGTCAGGCGGACAGCAAATGGCGCTCTACACGGACTGATTTGGGACTGCTGCAGGGCAAAATAGATGGCCCCTCCCGCCGTCCTTCGGTGCCTGTTCGTCTCGTCATTTTATCCTGGATGAAGCATGCACTCTCAACCCTCGCCTCGGGCGGCTCGAGAAGGAACTGTCCCTCTGTCCGTCCCGTACCTATAGAAAATAGAAACGTAGGCCAGGCCGGGTGAGATAAGAAACATAGCCTTTTCGTCAGGGTAGCTGTTCTTGCTGTGGTCTGTCTCATTTAGCTATGCCACCTCGTACACTACCAATCCGTAGTTCCCCAACGGTCCAAAACAAAACCTTATTCGTCACATTATATACGACATATTATCCGATTCTGGCCGGAGCAAACCCCGTGGTTTCACTCCATCTATTGTCTTAAGGTAGTAAATAAGCGGCTGGAACTCTGATCGCTCGCTTCGCCTCGCTTGCGCGTAAACTTACAAGCATCACCCCTGAAGGAACGCGGCACGTACGAGAACAACAAAGTGCTGGCCATCCGTAGCTCCAACGACAGTTGCCGTGTTAATTTCAACGTCGGCGACCACTCGACCAACGGTCTAGATTTTTCCCTTCGTCAAATCTTCGCCCCCATGCGTGATCGCCGCATTGTGGCTCGAAACATAGCAACATCAACGATGCGCCTGGTAGCATGGCAGAAATACTTCTCCCAGATCACATCCCTTGGTCCGTCGGCGGCCAGCTTTCGAGAGGCCATCAACTGGTTTGAGTCTCTAGTGAGGTGCATCAAGAGTAAAGAGTAAATGCAACCCTGATTTCAGTAGTATCTCTTTTTCTTTGACGGAAACACGGCCATGGAGGCGCAAAGGAAAGTCGGCACACGCATTCACGGGCTCGTCCACGGCATGCAGAATAAAATGAGCGCGGTAAAAGGAAACAGACATGGTTTCTACGGTGAGGGTGTTTGGGGACAGTTTACAGCGGGTCGGCAGTCGTATTTCTGAGAATGAGATGCTGCATTTTGGCTGAAGTCGGCGCGAATCTCGTATTAGCCTCATTGCTTTCGATATGGACTCCGTCCATATCGCACAAATCCGAGCCCCAATGTTTCATTCACGTACTTTTGTTCATATGCCTACACCGTCATGTCGGTAACCGAAGTTTATTTCTTCTCATGGGTACCTGTGTGGTTGAAAGTCCGATTTATATTTACCTTTACATTTCGTTGAAATATATTAATCCCCAGTTTCTATTCTGTATTCCGTATGTTTTAGTACTCGAATTTCGCTTACTGATATGATACTTTCAAAAAACATTTTTACACATAGAAAATCGAGTTGAAAAGGGTCTGTGTATAAAGTATGATTTTCTTTTCGAAAAAGGCAAAAAGGAAAGAGGCAAATTTAATAAAAATACTCTCAAATGGAACAGATAAAAATGGATTGTCACGACATCGAAAGTCCTACAAAGTGGAACCTAGATAGTTTACCACAGAAAAATCAAAGAGATGGACGACAGGGCTCAAAGTTGCTATGTTTTATTGCAAAAATTGACAAGGGAGCCTTGAGGAAGCTCGACTACACATCGGCTGAAAAGAAGGAGTAAAAATTGTTGAAAAAATTATTCATTTTGTGACAACTTGACCTGGGACTCAACCACTCCGATCTTCAGACCTCAGTGACCGAACCATGTGTCGCTGTGTGCTATCTAGAGAGAAATAAAACGGCCCATATTCGAACCGATTGTAGATCTTCCGTACTCAATTTCATGATTGAGATGTCATCACCCTTCGTGTGTGCCTGTATGTAAATTCCCTTTGCGCAAACAAATTAGACGAAAAAATCAAACCGGCGGTGTGAAAACCACGACAAAAAAATACAAGGCTCCTTCCCTATGCTGTTGAAAACATTTTTGTTGAAGAAAAAGAAAAGTAGGGGGAGGGCAGGTGCGGACTGTAGGGGGGAAGGGCGAGAGAGAAGAAAGAATAGAGGTGACGATAAAGGGTCGGAAGAAAAGGACGGCCGCACTGCCGCATGAAACAATCGCAATGCTTTTTGAAAGAACAACTCCCCCGTGTTTTCCCCGGTTGAAATGGGTATATGGTTAAATTTTCTTTTCATAAACAACTTTGAAACGACAATAAACATCAAAAACACAAAAACACATCAATGGGAGGTACGCGGCAATCATATCGTTAAGTATAGAGAGCGGCGACGCAGCCCAGAGACGATGCTGGCGGGTTTGAGACGAGGGGTGATAGGGGGCGAGAGAGATTAGTAGCGGTAGCTGAGAAAAGGTTAGTAATGTTACATGCGTACAAGACGGAGACGAAATAAAACAATGGGGGAACATACTGGTCGGGCTTGAAGGGACCCTCGACAGGCAGAGACAGGTACTCGGCCTGGACATCGGTGAGCTTGCTCAGCTCGACGTTACAGTGGTCGAGGTGCAGCTTGGCAACCTCCTCGTCGAGGATCTTGGGCAGGACGTAGACCTGCTTCTCAAAGGTGCCGTTCTTGGCGAACTCGACATACTTGCTGCGGAACGCCTCGTCCTTGTTCTTGTAGAGAGCGATCTGGGCCAGGACCTGGTTGGTGAAGGAGCAGGACATGACGAACGAGGAGTGGCCCGTGGCGCAACCCAGGTTGACCAGGCGGCCCTCCGCCAGCAGAATCAGCTTGCGGCCGCTCTTCATGGTGTAGCGGTCGACCTGGGGCTTGATGTTGACGTGCTCCACAGCGTTGGCCTTGAGCCAGGCAACGTCAATCTCGACGTCAAAGTGGCCAATGTTGCTGACAATGGCGTCGTTGGGCATGGCCTCGAAGTGGCGGCCGACCAGGATGTCGCGGCAGCCGGTGGTCGTGACAAAGATCTGGCCGACCGAGGCGGCCTTGTCCATGGTGGTGACCTGGAAGCCGGCCATGGCGGCCTGCAGGGCGTTGATGGGGTCAATCTCGGTCACCAGGACGCGGGCGCCCATGCCAGCGAGGGCCATGGCGCAGCCCTTGCCGACGTCGCCGTAGCCGGCAACCACGGCGATCTTGCCGGCAATCATGACGTCGGTGGCGCGCTTGATGCCGTCGACGAGGGACTCGCGGCAGCCGTACAGGTTGTCGAACTTGGACTTGGTGACGGAGTCGTTGACGTTGATGGCAGGCACCAGCAGCTCGCCGTTCTTCAGCATCTTGTACAGGTGGTGGACACCAGTGGTGGTCTCCTCGGACAGGCCGTAGCAGTCCTTGAGCATCTCGGGGTACTTGGCGTGGACGAGCTGGGTCAGGTCACCTCCGTCGTCGAGAATCAGGTTCAGGCGCTTGTTGTCCTTGAAGGCAACCAGCTGCTGCTCCAGGCACCACTGGTACTCCTCCTCGGTCTCGCCCTTCCAGGCGAAGACGGGGACACCGGTGGCGGCAATGGCAGCGGCGGCGTGGTCCTGGGTGGAGAAGATGTTGCACGAGGTCCAGGTGACCTCGGCACCGAGAGCGGTCAGGGTCTCGATGAGGACGGCGGTCTGGATGGTCATGTGCAGGCAGCCGGCAATGCGGGCGCCCTTGAGCGGCTGGTCGGTGGCGTACTTGGCACGGGTGGCCATGAGGCCCGGCATCTCGTTCTCAGCGAGCTCGATCTCGCGGCGACCGAAGGCGGCCAGCGAGATGTCGGCGACCTTGAAGTTTCCGGCGGGGGCAGCCATTTTGAATGTAGAGTAGTGGTCTGGGAAGAGAGCAGCGAGTTAGTCGATTGATCGTAGATGACAGAAATTGGCTGGCAAACAAGTGAACCGGAGCTGAAGCTCTTTGTTTTTTTCAAGCAGCTCTGGTCAGATGGCCATCCGAGGCCAAAGTGAGCTCCAACAGCGGTACGATGCTTATCAGAGAGGGGTACGGCAATGGGCGCTGCACCGCCATTGAGACGTACCTTGAGGAGAAAGACGGGCTATTGGGATGGATGAAGCGTTTGGTAAGGATGCAAAGTGAGATAGGAGAGTAAAAAGCGAGGAGTGTAGAAGACGGAGGAAAGGAGAAGAACAGAAGGACAAGGGACGCAGGAGGATACAAGAGGTGTTGAAATGGGAAGGGCGGGTAGAGATAGTGGACAATCACTTTTTTTTCCGTCGCAACGTGGCGGGGCAGTGGTTGGTTGGTGAGGGGTTAGCAGCAAGCAGAAAATTTCAGGAACGGCGCTAGTCCTGATACGGACGGTGCTCAGTGGGAAACGGAGGGCCATTGGTCCCCTGTAGCGTGTCGGCACCATCTGCCGTTACTGGCCGCAGCGTCCGCTCTGGTCCCGTAATTCGTAGTATGGAGGCTACAGCCACTGGGGCCTGGCCAGTAAAGGATCCGAAGCCTCTCCGAGCACGTGTTATCAGTTTACATATGTTTTCAAGCGGCCGCCGAGCTCATACGTTTGGCCACGTTCACGACTGGATCTCTTAGCCTAGTTTATCTTTTGTATTTTCGTTTTCATCTGACAGTTCGTAGTCCCCCAAATTAACGCCAGGCCAGATGCAATATAACTCGCCCCTGGTTTGCCAGCTTCCGCAGTGCATCGTGGCACAAAGGTATCGGACGCCTTTGTCTCTGGTTGCTCACCGTACGTTCACAGTATGACGAACGTAGGGTAAAGCGAGGACCACAGAGTCAGTGTCGCCTTGACGCCGCTGTGCAACGAATCCGTCCAACGAAAGATCCACGGCCAAAAGGAGAAGTCTCGTTAGGCCAAATCATACCCGTCTAGAAACTTTTGGTGCCGCCAAAAACGCAGAAAGAGAAAAGATACCAAGAGGGGACGAGAAAATATGGAAAACCGAAATACAATGACAAGGGTGCGACCTCAGCCGTGTCATAATGAAAGGGCTGGGTTTCGTGCCACGGCATGGCCCTTATCCGCCCATGATAGAAATATCCGGCCCTGGTGAAGTGACCCCGGACGTGGTGACGGGAACATGATGAAACTGTAAAAAAGACATCGCACGCAAAAGAAAAGAAGGAGAAAATAAACACAATAAACATGAGCAAATCAAAGTCCACCAACTACCCGTTTACTCGGGCAGCAGGTTCCCCCTGACGGCAAACATCTTGGCGCTGACGCTGGACGTGAAGCCGTCGACCTGCCGGCTGTACAGGTCGACCTGGCGGGCGTTGAGCATGCTCTCGAGGCGGCTGGGCTCCTGGGGCAGCTTGAACAGCCGCTGCCACTCGTCCTCGGGGAGCGGCGCCTGCTTGGCGGCGGTGCGGGCGGCGTTCTCGGCCTTGCGCTTGGTCTGCCACGCGGTAATCTTCTGCTGCTCGCGCGTCAGCTGGCGCTGGTAGTACTGGTGGTTGTTGAGGTCGGTGTAGTGCGCCTCGACGCTGTCGAGCAGCAGGTCGCACGTCTTCTCCAAGAACGGGTCGATGGACAGGTCGAGGGCGTCGAGCGACGGGTAGGCGGGGAAGGCCAGGGGCGCGCCGTGGATGTCGGACAGCGAGGCGGGCAGGTCGACCTCGGCGGTGGCCGGCGGCGCGGGCAGCTGGTGCATGAAAGTAGTCAGGAGGTGCGAGTTGTGCACGGCGACGGGCAGCTCCACCAAGATGTCCTTGAAGGACAGTTTGGACTTTTGCAGCGTCTCGGTTGTGAACTTGCCCTCCTTGTATGCGGCGACAAACGCGCTGGACAGGCGGAACGCGCGCAGGTTCAGGGCGCCCTGCGAGCTGCGGCTGACGTCGTAGACAAGGGCGACGGTGGCGGCGCCGGCCTGGGCGTCGCGCTGGTAGTGGTACAGGTTCTCGATGAAGCTCATGTTGATAAAGTTGCCCATTGTCGCGCTCGTGTAGAAGCCGACGCTGTTGGCGTCGACGTTGACCTCCTTGAGGTGGCGGATCATGTCGGCCTGGTACGTCACGTTGGACTTGGCGCGCGGTGCGGCGGCGGCAATGGCCGACGCGTCGTTCTGGTGGCCGCGCTCGTTGGCGCCGGACTCGACGGCAGCGTCAGCCACGGAGGGGAAGGCAAAGGTGTTGGTGACCTCAAGCGTGCCCTTGTTCTCCATGCCGACGATGGCGCCCGTAGCGGTGGTCGGGAAGGCGGACGAGCAGTGCTTGGTGATCTTCATGACAACGAGGGCCTCGACCTGGACCGTCTGGAACGGCAGGTCCTTCGAGGCATCTGTGGCTGCGACCATTGTGAAGGAGGGGGGAGGCGGGTTGGGCTAGAGGGTGAAGGTGAGGTTCGAGGTTGTTGGTGAGTGACGACAACGTCGAAGAGTCGTCGAGACGGCCGTTCAATGGGAACCCGGGGTGTCGAAAAAACGAAGGAAACCGACGATGCGTCGTGCGTTTCGCGGGTTTGGCGGTGGAGAGAGGGGGGAGGCGCAGGGAGGAGACGTGTGGGCGCCAGCGTTGGTTTGGCAGTGGTCGTATTTTTGCCTTTTGCGGAGGAATAATTTTTCGCGCGTGATACGGCCTTCCTGGCGATGCTGTGCGATTTCTGCTTTTGCCTGCTTTGTGGGTTTGACGGGCCATTCAAAGGGGTTTGTACGGCGGTGAACAGCGGCAGAAAATAGTACCCCGCCAAAACGGCTCCGGGTGTACTCTTAAGGCGTACAGTATAGCCATACAGTGCAACGAGAATGCACAGTATGGCATCGTGTTAGTGACAGTAGACCAGCTTTTGTTTACACGACACGGCATACTAGTGAGAAGCCAGCTTCCAGTAATATTACTAAAAATAATTATGTATCCAAGAGTTCCGTCCAATGAAGGAAAACGTAGCCATCTATACCGACCTATATGCCGTCTATCCGTCTATCCAGTCCTTTCCAACCGTTGACCATCGATCCAGCGACGTCTATGCAATACCCAGAGAACCCAAGCGCCAGAGAGTATGATTTGCTGCTTCGAGGTAGAGATTGCCCATGTACAGTCGACATTGAGCTGCAAAAATTATTGATGGGCTATTTGGTTTACGACTTTGTCGTGCCCTTGTCCTCTGAAAATATGTCAGCTGCTTCAATTTTGCCGAATGATGTACCAGGAGTAGAAGAGCAGTAACGTACTCTCGCCCTTTGTGACTTCATATCCGGACCGCCCGGCGTCCGGACCGGGAATGGAAGGGTTGTTTGTAGTATGAGACATGGTGTCAATTGGTAAAGGTAATTGAGGATCCTAGATGCGGTTTCGAGGCGAGGAGGTAGGAGGCAAAGAAATGTAGAAATGCAGAATATGTGAAATAAGAATTGCAAATAAACGAGATGTTTGTAAGAACTGAATACGAGCCTGCTCATGTGTTGCATCGTTTTCTGTCAACGAGAAGAGAGGAAGATGGCCTTCATATATGTGGCATTTCAGCGCCTTCGTGGGAGTGGACCAACGTGTCGATATCTCTAATCAAAGTCTGTTACAGTACGTTTGTCAGATTTCTTTTTGATAAGCTGATATTTGCTGGCAAAACCTTGTCTTTTTTTTCTCCATTGCCGATATTTCGGGAAGTCCCTGAAACATCGTGGAGTCGTGGAACATTTCTGGAAGGCGAAAACGTGGAGTTGAGACTGTGGCGAGAGGGCAAACCACATGTTTGATCCTATTCTTGGTGTTTACTTCCACGAACATTCCTGAACTATTCCTAAATTTATTATGTGGCGTTGCGTCTCATTTTACCGACCTTGGAGCACTGTCTACACCTTGCAGCCTGAGATTGGTATTGCGAAGCCGGATTGTGACAAGTGACAACCTTTGGACATGCATCTGAATTCAAGAGACAACGTGGGGAATTTGTATGACATTACAATGATTTCATTTAGATATTCGGCATCGCCGTGAGATATGTCATTGTTATAAGATATTTGATACCATGTTGGTCGAAGCAAACTTTGACAATAGTCAAAGAAGATCCTCGTCTCTTGCGAGGGATGCCGTTGCAATAACGAAAATGGAGTCCTCTTCACGCCCGGTCATATGCCATATTATGAAGCCACCTGTAAAACATTAAACGGTGCAAAGACCAGCTCTGGGTTCTTGTGGGGAAGTTCTAATATTGTTATTATTTCATTATTCTATTTATTTTGGCCCGTGAATACCAGGTGACACAAAGTGTCCAAAGTTGAGATGTCCACAGTCGCCCATGTTACTATTGAATGGGAGGCAGATACTGCATGTCCTTCTCATCATATGGCGGCATCGATGTGCTCGGCGCTCGTAACCGTGAGGGCGTTTGTGGGACAGTTTCAATCTCAACGACAACGCTCGTCTCCATTTCCATTTGGATGGCCAGGCCACCCCCCTCCCCAGCACGCTGCAACGATTCTTGGCTGGCAGCAATCGATCGGTTACCGATCGCGCCGCTGTCGCCGCTGCCAATGCCCAGACCGGTGACTCCGAGACTGCTGGTGCCCAGCTCGCGCCAGCCACGAGGCCCGCGCATGACTATGTCACGGACGCCTCGCACGGCATCACCGATGGGGGTCGTGCTGCTGCCACGGTCCTGGCTACTGCTTTGGCTGTAGCGGCTCGTGTCCATGCGACTGCTGGTGTTGCTGCTATCGTGCCTGCTTGTGTGTTTGAACTGCCCCATGTGATTGGTCCTGTTGTAGCTGTTCCTGTTGTTGACGCCCCCCTCTACCCACACCATGTTGCCAAATCGACGGTTGGGCGGCGTGCGCATAAAGGCAAAGGTGTTGATGCCGACATCTTCTTCGCCCACGTCGCCAAAGACAATGTT